GATGTGACATCACTAGAGTGAACCGGTTCACTCAAATAAAATATTTTGATTTCTTCTAGCTGTTCTGTGGGAAGGTTCTGAACAATATTATTTTTACTGAATCACTGACTCCATTAAAACAAAGTTCAACTGTGACCAGATTGATTCAGATTGATGAGCTAATGGTGTTGGACAAAAATATTCTCGCTTTCTTATTTACTCAAAAGGAGCTACGCTCAATGGCAGGAGAAGATTGTTAACCGGTGTTTTTCTTGCAAGGACAGATATTCAGGACAAGTTACACAGATACACACAAAGTACACGTCTGAAGCCCAGTCACAAGAATCTGCCACGGGCACTGTGCAAAGTTTGTTTTTATATGTTTATCAGTTCAGCCGAACTCACAGACTCGGAGGCATCTGTGGAGTGCCAGCTGCATGCTGCAGCCTCACTCTCATTCACCTTTCTATTAACCCAAACATATGGTTCATGGGCAGAGTTAACATTCTCAGCCATAGTAGTTTAAAAACATCCATAAACTTTGACCAAAAATTCCCTACATAATGGCTAGTTCTGAGCAAGACCAAAATAGATTCCTGCTCTCTTAAATAACTCTGATCTCATTGCTGTCAGTTTTGCACTACATATTGATTTGCATTTAATTATTTGGGTATTTGCTACCTAGCTGTTGCACTTTCAGTCCAGCATAGAGTTTTTCTAGATTGAAAGTCCAAATATTTCAATCAGAAAAATTGTACTACGTAACTGATTGTTCTGGATAAACATTTAAAGTTGTTCTTTAACCAAAAGCTATAAATTTTCTGAGACTGAAGTTATTTTAGGAGTCTACTTTTGTTTTGTCCCCGTATAGACGGGGCTTGTCAGTCTGGTCAGAATAAAATTCTATTTCTCAAAACTGACATTTAGAAAGTTCTCTACAACATGTAAACAATGGTTTGTTCATTACCTTCCAGACAAACCACCCATTCATCCATCCCTCATCTTTACCTGCTTCTTCCTTTATGGGTCAGGGGGTCGCTGGTGCTCATATCCAGTCATCACTGTGCATGAGGTGGGGTAACCCTGGACAGGTCTCCAGTCCACCACTGGGACACATAGAGACAAACAACCATTCACTCTCTCACTCACACCTAGGGACAATTTAGAGTTACCAATCAGTCTAACATACATGTTTTTCGTCTGTGGGACGAAACTGGAGTACCCGGAGAAAACCCACGCATGCACGAAGAGAACATGCAAACTCCACCCAGAAAGGTCCCCAAATGGGATTCAATTTGGCATCTTCCTCACTGAGAAGCAACAGCTATCTGACCCACCGTGCCACCCTTCCAGACAAACCCAGCTCCAAAATACCAGAAGTATTCATTCAAGGCTTCAAACCCTGACAAAAACAGTGTGGTAACATTTGAAAACTCTAAATACTGCCTGTAATAATACTACTACTGAATTATGTTTTACATTAAGTACACCTAACATTTAACTTACTGTATATTTTGAGTTTTAACGTGCTCTCATGTAATCTAAGATTGTGCAGTACCTTGAGTACATGCTGCGTTTCCATTCTTCTTCTTGTTCGCCTCAGAGAGCAGCAGATATTCATCCTGAGGAGCTCATCTACACTCCATCTCCAGTCAATGTAGTTTTATGTTGAGAAATAATATCCGTGTGCATTTTCCTGTGTGCTGTAGCTGCTGGAGATTTTGTTTCACAGCAAAGTTTAACTCTGAAGGGAGCACAAACCTACAAATGCACAGATAAATAAATACACAGCCGTGCACGACGCAGACACACGTCCATCTTCACTGGCAGGTCTGCTATCCACCTCAGCTCAACTCCGGCCCACTTCCACTGTTTTTGTGTTTCTGTGTATACAGTATAGTATGAAAGCGAGAGGGATGGAAAAACAGAAGAGCTGTGAAGAGAGGCAGGCTGTTGGGGGGCCGTTTAGGATTCTATAGCATGCCATGCAGTGAGTTCATCGAGTTTGTGTATGAACCCAGCGTGCCTTTAGAAGGATGAGGTGGCCCGACCCTTTTCTTCCCTCAATGACTGCAACGCTGCGTACAGTCAGGGTATGTCCTCCGCTGAGGTTCACTGAGAGACAAGTGAAGTAAAAGAGGATATGAGGAGTCATTCAAAGTGAATTAATATCCTGATTCATGCTCAATAATCCAGGTAGAAAAATCTAGCAAAGTTAAGTCAGGTCTTCTGGACAGTTTCTTTTTCATCCATCCATCCAAAGCAAACCATCCAGAGGACCTGACTTAACTTTGTAAAATGGTCCTTTTTTGTTTGTTTGTTTATTTTTTTTTATTTTAAATCAATTTGACAATTATGTTAATGTTTTTATGTGTCTTGTATCGTTTGAACTGAGCTGAGAATGGGGAAAATATTTTAGTGCTAAGTGCAATAACAGTGTGAATGTTTCTGAATCATTCCCACTGTTCACGTCCGTTTTTCTTCTGTACGTTTTCAGTACTTAACTTGTTCCTCAGTTTTTGCTTTATTTATTTATTTTTATTTCAGCAATTCATAAAAATTCTAGAATTGCGCCACTCAAGGTGGCTGCATGTTGGAGCAGCTCTGTTACTTTTGTTCTGAGATTTTGCTTTTGGAAACTTTAATTCCTCTTTATCTAGATGTAAATCACATTTTTTTGGATGATTGTTTCCTCTGGTATCGGATGCTGTGCAGCTGGAAGGATTTTTACTGAAACTTTTTTAGTTTTGGACATTTGTTACGATGCACAACCATGGCAACAAGACAGTTTTCTACAACCAACAGCAGCTGATTAACATCTCAAAAGCTCAAATAATATCTCAACTACAGCCACAAATCTTAAATGAGTTGAAAAGGATGTTCTGTGGATGCATTCTCATCAACCTGCCAGCTGTGCTCGAGTGCCTGACCATGAGATCCTGGAACTAGCAGGAAACACGGCTCATGGCAGTGGAAGGACAGGATCGTCCCTCGGCACCTACAGTTGGCTGTCTGCAGTGACAAGGAGCTTGTCAGACTGCTGGGAAGAGTAACCATCGCTCTGGGAGGAGTTCTGCCCGACATTCGGGCGGTCCTACAGCTCAGGGGAACCGAAAGGCCAGCAGAGTCTGAGTGGACGGATTGGACGGTATCTGCAGCCAGTTTCTTAGGATCCACTGAGGGATGGACCTTTACAAGAGATCCTTCCTGCCTACAGCCATCAGCATCTATAACATCTCTTAATGAAATGAGGATAAGTTACAACAACAAATAATTTCCCTTTGGGATTAATAAAGTATTTTTAAATTGAATTGAATTCAATCTAGAAATGAAGATATTCAGCTCATTCAGGACATTCCTGCTTTGACGTTTGGCATTTGTGCAATTTCTGCTTGTTTAAATATTTAGCTTTGTCGGACATGTTTTTCTCTTTGGAAAAGAATGGAGCTCTCTTTACATCCTTCAAAACCTTTATGGCCTTTACTGCTCATTTCAACTTTGGTTCTGGTTCAGCTTTTTTCAGTTTTTTTTTTTGTTTTTGTTTTGTTTTTTAGCTTCTTTCTGCTGTTTCAGCTACCTTTTAGGTATTTTTCTGCTCATTTTTGTTGCTAATTTCCACATTTTGTGATTCTTTAAAAAAAAAAAAATGCTACATTTAGCTTCTTTACAGCTAACAAAGTTAAGTCAGGTCATCTCTGGACCAATTAAAAAAAAGTATATATTTTTTATTTTTTTTATTTTATTTTTTTAATCCGTCAAGAGGACCTGACTTTAACGTTGTTAGATTTTTCTACCTGGATTATTGAGCAGCATCAGGATATTCTCATCATCTTCTTCTCTTTTTTTTTTTTTTGGTTCTAATTTCAGTTGCTTTCTTATTAAAGTTGTTGACGTTTCAGATTTTTTTCTAATTCAGTTTCTCAAGGTCAAGGTTCTCTATTGTCATTTGCATCACGTATGGTACATGAGGTAGAACGAAATTATGCACTCTGGGTCCCAGTTGCATCCAACAATAGCAAAAATATAAAATGTGAAAAGAAACCGTAAATAAGGATCCAAGATATAAACTAAGATATACGCTAAACAAACACCAAACTGTACGCTGAAAGATCTCAATCTACGCTAAACACTTATAATGTTAAACAATACACCGAACAACAGCAGCACGAACATCTCTCTGCCCATTCACATTATTCTGCTTCTGCTTTCAGCAAATGTCAGCTGTTCGGATTCAACTCATATGACCGGTTTAGAGATTAAACTTTTCAGCTGGTTACAGCTTCTTCCGCAGCTTTCAGTCATTCGGCAACAAGCATTTTCACAGGAAAGGACATTTCTCTAGTTTATCTTTGCGTTACTAATAAGAGAGCAGTCACATGCCTGATGTCAGGATTGTTCAGGGTATAAAGAAAATCTGTCCAATAGTATTAAACATAAATAAAGATTGATTTCCTCAACCATGGGAAATACTACAGTAAAATGCATATATACTACAGGTGTTCTGTCACAGTACTACAGCATCACATGAAAGTACTCGCTGGCAGACGGTATATGCCTCCTTTTCAGAAAAATGTAAAAGAACTGTTGACGTTCTGATGGGCCAAATATATCTGTCAGGGCACACTCTGTTTGCTTACTTCACTACTACTTCTTTTTTCAGCTTTTCTCTCTTCAGGAGTCTCCACAGCAAGTCATCCTCCTCCATCTCACTCTGTCCTCTGCATCCTCTGTCCTCACTCCAACTACCTCCATGTCCTCTCTAACTGCATCCATAGATCTCCTCTTTGTCTTTTTCCTGGCAGCTGCATTTCTAACATCCTTCTACCAATATACCCACTGTCCCTCCTCTGGACGTGTCCAAACCTCTCTGGTTGAGGACACAGCCAAAACTCTGTTTGATTGCTTCACAGTAAACTTTATTTTAGTGCAGCCATCTGAATTTACTGAATAGTTTATTATTACAGTACACGTATACAAGGTGCTCATATAAATTAACTTTTGTCTTCAACATATTTCATCAGATGGGCCTCACATCAGAAAGCCAAAGGAAGAGAAAGGCTCCGGCTCCTCCTCCCACTCCATCCTCCATTTCTCAGGACTCCGACGACTCTTCAGCACCTGCTGCTCCTTCTCCCGATCAAATTCCCACCCCAGCCCAACGCAACAAGGTGGCACCGTCAACCACGATCTCTGATGCTTCAGTCGTCGCACAAACAGTTAAACCATCTCCCCGGAGAAGAACCGTTCAGCCTCCACCACCATGCAACATCACCCCAGCTCCCAGCTCTCCATCCCTGAGCGACAGCACCACAGACAGCCTGGCCGTGCAGGATTCCAGCTCGGAGCTCAGCCGCAGCCTCAGCGACTCCGATGTGGACCTCGAGCGGGCCGGGTCCCCCAACAGCACTAGCAGCACAGCAAGCAGCTCTGTGCAGGTCCAGCCCACAACAAAAGAGCCGAGCAACTTACCTGGCCCAAAAAATGAAGACATGCATTCAGACCGAAGTTCTAGTTCAGACATGGAGCTGGCTCTGAACCTGAGGCTGGATGAAGTGGAGAACAGTCGTCACAGCGGAATGGGTAAATATCTGTAAGGCTTTATGAAAACAAAGTATTTAAATACTTGAGTTTACAGGTATGTCTGGAAAACAGTGTAAAAAGTAGATTTTTAATCATAAAATTTCAAGCACAGAGAGACCACAACATCTCCAAGACATTAAGTAAGAACAAATAAGTCCACTCATAGAACAGCTTGATGGGTGAACGTTGGGTTTTTATCACTGAGTTCATCTGGACAGGCTCAATGTATTCTTTCATGTTTGGTTCAATATTTTTACTCAAGTCGAAAAGCGGACGTATTCTGTTATACTCCATCTGTACGTTCAGACACACACACACACACGCTTTTTCCTTTTCTGGGTCAAAGGGGTCACTGGTGTCCATATCCAGGAGTCACTGTGCAAAAAGTGGGGTACACCCTAAACAGGTCTCCAGTCCATCACAGGGACACATGGAGACAAACGAGACAAACAATCATTCACTCTCTCTCTCACCTAGGGACAATTTAGAGTTACCAATCAGCCTAACATGCATGTTTTTGGTCTGTGGGAGGAAACCAGAGTACCCAGAGAAAACCCACGCATGCACGGAGAGAACATGCAAATTCCACCCAGATAGACTCCCAGACGGGATTTGATCCAGTAACCTTCTCACTGAGAGGCAGCAGCTCTACCAACTGAGCCACCGTGCCACCCTATGTACTCCTACATAATATTCAAATTATTTTAACTTTAATACCCACCTGTTCTTTTGTTTTGTCATGGCAGTTCTTGGTCTTTATTTGTCATGATCTGAATTAAAGCTAGATTGACAAACAGGCGTATCATGGAGGAGGAAACTAATCCCTTCAGTTTATCCCTGAGCTCCTGACAGTGATGAGGCAGTAAAACAGTGGCACACTGCCCGTAGAGGTTTCCTCCCTGTCTGCCCTGCAGAGCTAAGCTGTCACTCTGCAGCAACATCTGACTCTACCTGTCAGGAGTGACGACCTCTTAAAGAAAGAGAGCTTGTTCATGTTTGAAAGACAGAAACTAGCGGAGCTGGTTTTTCATCACAGTTTGAGACAATCAAGCTTTTGTTTTTCACTTAGGCTTATCAACCTGAAGTTTTATCACTTTCCTCGCCTTACTTCTTGTTCTTTGCTTTTCATCGCTTTCATATGCATGCAAACACAAATTCTAGCAAATTCACAGGTAAATAAATCCGGCACAGTTTTTTATTTGACATTCAGATGCTCTTAGATTGACTTTCACATAGCATAACCCAGAATATTCTCTAAGTGAGCAGAGTGATGGTGTGTCTGATGAAGGGAAAGATGAGATTCACAGACTTCAAAAAAGATGCAGATGGAGTGGCAGAAAAAAACAGCGTTGGTAGGTTTTTCAGAGGGGAAGACAGGGCAGTGAAGAAGAAAATGAGATGCTAGAGGACTTTAACGAAGAAGGTGAATAATAGAGGTCAAAGTATTAGAAGACTAGATTAATAGACAGGATGTAAGTTTCAACTTTATTCATACATTTATAAACCCAGAAGTTTCCCTTTCTGTCTAACCTGACAGTGCTGCATGAACTGAATACTTTTGTTTTATTGCTTGGATTTTTTTTTTTTTTATCATATTTTGTTAAAAACTATTTGTGATAGGATCCTACCAGTGTCCTGACATGTCATGAGGAAGATCTAGGACATAGAATCCACATGGGCCATGTTCAAAACCTCTATTGCAGTATCTTCCAGGAGCCTGAATGTCAATGGATCATTCTCAGTCCAGGTTGAACTCCACCAGAACTGTTTCTTTTCTCGGTTTCTGTTTTTGGTGTTGATGAACAGGATCCCTCTCGGTTTTCAAGTCCTGTTTAAAAACCCACTACTATTCAATGGCTTTCAACATCAGATGATCTGTGTTTTGATCCTGTATGCTCCACACTGGTTTGTTGTTGATCCTGTATGCTCCACACTGGTTTGTTGTCATTATCTGCATCGTTTTTATGTCTATATTCTGATTTACTTAATTTTGTATTTTGCTTTGTGCGTTACCTGTTGTTCTGCCTGTACAGCACTTTGGTTGGCCTTGTCGCTGTTTTAAGTGCTCTATAAATAAAATGGTATGGTATGGTAATGGTATGGTACCATTTTTGGCAACAATTAAAGGACCTGCTGTTGGACATTATCAGTGACGGAAACCGTTGAGCTGGAGAGGAAGGCATTGATGAGTTGACTGTCCTGGAGGACTCCAGAAGCAGCTGACGGGTATAGGGTGGCAAAAAGTGCTTGGGAATGCAAAAACTCAGGCATGGGAGGTATTTGTAGATACCATGGAGTAGGACTATTGCTTGGACTTGAGGCGGTTCTGGCAAACCGTTAAAGGAAAGGAAAACGGGCCTCATTCCAGGCGGCAGTTGATTATGGTGGGGAGCTGCTGACCTGGACTGGGGATATTATTGAGTGGTGAAAGGAGAACTTTAAAGATCCCCTTAATCCAGCCACTTTGTCCACTTTTAAGGAGGCAGAGTCTTTGAACTCGGGGTAAGAGGAGTTCATTGCCACGGCAAAGGTCACAGAGGTAGTGGAAAAAGCTCCTTGGTGGCAGAGTGCCAGAGGTGGACAAGATCTGTCCAGAGATGCTGAAGGCTCCGGACATTGTGGGGTTGTCATGGTCAACATGTCTCTCCAATGTTGCATGAAGGACTGGGGCAATGCTTACAGAGTGGCCGACTGGTTTATTGTGTTACATTTTTTAAAAGGAGGACCGGTGGGTGTGTTTCAACTATCAAGGGATGACAAGTCTCAGCTACTCTGAGAAGCTTTACTCTAGAGTGTTTTAATTGTTCTTGATTTTACATGTACAGCACTTCTTTGCAGCTGTACTTGTTTTAAAGGACTTTATAAATAAAGTTATTATTATAAGACCAGATTTTCACGCTTGCAGTTTGGCTAAGGGAGTCACAACAGTTTGACAGTCCAGTCTACATGTGTTTTGTAAACCAGAAAATGGCTTGTGACCCTGTTCCCTGATGTATTCTGTGTGTGTGTGTGTGTGTGGGGGGGGGGGGGGGTGCTGCAGGAATATGGGGTACCTGGGTTGTTGTTAAGGGGTATTCAGTCTCTGTAGAACCAGAGCAGGAGCTGTGTCCGCATTCTTGACACAAAGTCGAGCTCATTCTCAGTCCAGGTTGAACTCCACCAGAACTGTTTATTTTCTTGGATTCTGTTTTTGGTGTTGATGAACAGGATCCTAAGGTGCAGTTGTGTAGAGGAGGCTGTCTAGTTTGAAAACATTTAGGCCTTATCTCTCCTTTTTGTGGTGATGATGTGATTCTGTTGATGTTTTTGGGTCAAGACCGTCAATGTGCAATGGGGCAGTTGGCAGCCCATTGTGATGCAGCTGAAATGAGTCAGCTCCTCAAGTTCAAGTAGGTTTATTGTCATTTCACCACATGTGGTACATGGGGTGGAACAAAATTATGTACACAGGGTCCCAGTTACACTACAATAGCAAAAATATAAAGTGAAAAGTCTGAGGCCATGGTTTTCAACCAGAAACGGGTGAAATGTTCCCTCTGGGTGAGGAGGGAGTCTTTTCCATTAGTGGAGGAGTTTAAATATCTGGGCGTCTTGTTCCTGAGTGATGGTAGGATGGAGAGGGAAATGGATCGGGGCTTTGTTCTCAATAATGAGGGCTTTGCTTTGGTTTGGGGTGAAGAAAAAATTTAGTTAAATGTCAAAGCTCTAGATTTTCTGGTCTAAATTCCAACCCTCACCTGTGGTCATGAGGTCTGGATCATGACAAAAAGAACAAGATCCAAGATACAGGTGGGTGAAATGTATTTCCTTTGCAGGGTGGCTGGACTCAGTCTTAGCAATAGGAGGAGGAGTTCCGTTATTCGTGAGGAGCTCGGAGTAGAGCTGCTGCTCCTCTGCATAGAAAGGAGTCAGTTGATGTGGTTCGAGCAACTGATTAGGACGCCTCCCTTTGAAGGGTTTTTGGGCACTTCCTACTGGGAAGAGACCCCGGTGTCAGGATCCTGAGTTTTTGTTGTTTATGTTTGTGTTTTAGTATTTTATTTGATGTTTTTTATTGTGTTCTTACTCCTTGTTTCTTGTTGATTATTCCTCGTGTTCTGTTCAGTTCCTCCGTGCCACCAACAGTCTCCCCCAGGCAGTACTTTTCCAATCAGTCTGCCACGCCCATCTACACCTGTCCCCTGTTTCCTCAGTCGCAGCTGCAGCCTCTCAGTTCATCAGCATCTGTCTTCATCATTTCTCAGCTTCACCTCAACTTTCACTCTGTCATAGTTTGTGCTTCATGCCATGTTCCATTTGCCCTTGGGTCTCTTATTTCCTGCTCCGGAAGGGTTTTTGCTTTCATATCAGCTTTGTTTTTGTTTTCTTACGTTGATAAAACCTTTCAGTTATATTTGAGCTCCTCACACATTCTACCTCAATGGGTCTTATTCTAACAAATGGTGACACACAGGGCAAACTTATAACTCCTGGAGGGATTATGTTTTCCTCTCTGTCTGGATTTTTCTCCTGGATTTGTTGCCTCTACAACCTGACCATGGTAAAAGTTGGAGATGGAGCTTTCAGTGAAATGTTTATTTGCTTTGGGACACTCTACAAACTCTATTACTCTACACTCTATTATATAATTCTATTAAATTTTTTCACCAAAGTACATTGCCATTATTTTACCGACCCAATGCATTTTGGGCCGATGATGTACATCACCTGTAGTGGAGGCTAAAACACAAGGAAACAAGGCTAAACTGTTGTAACATCAGACCATAAAGTTATATTTTGTATTAATCCTTATACACAATATATGGTTTGAAGCAATCAAACATGATCAACTCGTGATGTTTAATTTATTAGTTCTGGATCTAACACTCTAAATATATATTAGCTTTGGATTAAATGCTATTAGGTCTGGGGTTAAATATATATTAGCTGTGGTGCTAATGCTATTAGCTCCAGAGATAACGTCATACATATGATCAGTGGCGCTAATGCTATTAGCATAT